AACCAGGAGCAGTCAGCACCACCCACCTTGGGGGTAGCCCAGCCTCCAGGGCCAGCTAGACTCCCTTCTCCCTAAGCCAGCTGAAAACTAAACTCCCCCACCCAGCAACTGGTCCCAGCCCCGCCTCCTCCTTAGTCCTGCTTCCCCGGGGCCCAGGGTGTTATCTGCTCTCACCTGGTCCTCAGGATGTGAGAGTTGTGCCTGGCCTCCCCCTCCTCATCCAGATAGCCTTGCAGTGCCCAGGGAAACTGAGGCACACACACGCAGAGAGTTACTACAGAACAGCACAGGACAGTAGAATCCCACACAACACAACAAAGCAAACAGAGTGACAACAGGGACTGGAAGAGTGAATACCTCCCCCCTCCCCCTTCGTTTTCCCTTTTACTCCTCCTTTTCCATCCCCAGAGCTCACTTGCACCCTGCTGCTGAAGAGCCTCTCTCTCACAGACCGGGTGAGTGGGGCCCTGAGCCCGGGATGGGGGGGAGGAGGGGACGGACCCCGATTCCCCTTTTCACACCACGTTGCTTTTCTCTGATCGCGCCCAAGGAGCCAAACTCAGCCCTGGGCAAAGAGCCCCTGGCCAGTCAGGCCCCTACAGGCTAGCCACGACCTTCCTAGGCACTGGCCCTTTGGCCCACGGTGATTCTCACCCTGCCGGATCAGCTGCTGCAACGCACCTCACCTGGTAGCCTCCTTCCCTTGCAAATGCCATGCCCCCCTCAGCGAGAGCCAGGGCATTGCCCATGCTCTTTCCAGCGCCCTGCGTCTGATCCGAGGGATCCTCTGCAGACGGAGTGGGGGGGAGGCAAGGGAGGGGCTGTGATTCGGTGATCTCTGCTCCTGAACTAGGTTTGGGGTGTGTTTTGCAGCTTTCCCTGAGCCCTTTCTGCGAGAGTGCACTTAAGAAGCAGGACGGTGCCACTGGGACAGAGATGCTGCAGGTACTAAGTCAAAATCCGGGGCCTCATTGGATTTGTTCCTAGTAGCAGGAGGAATCTACACTCTCAGAGCAACCTATAGGGACGCAGCATCCCTAGCAGGGGATAAACAAACAGCAGTGCCCAGAAATCCCCACACCTGCCTCTCCAGCAGCCTCTGTGCCCCAAAAGTTGTGTCTTGTAGGTTCCACGGCCAGAAAGGACCATGGTGATTGAGCATCTAGTCTGAGGGCCCAGGCAGCGAGAGAACGTGCCTTCCCTTTCCGGGGGGTTGGTTGTGGGAAAGCGGGGCAGGACTAGCAGTCTGGGCATGGGGGAGTGGCAGGGGTCAGGCACAGCAGCGTTATTTCGGGATAACACCCATTATTCCAAACTAGCTATGCGAGCGTCTGCACAGCTAGGTCGCTATTTCGTTATTTCGGGATAACACCCATTATTCCAAACTAACTATGCGAGCATCTGCACAGCTATGATTTCAAAATAACGGGTGGCTTATTTTGGCATTTGTAAACCTCATTCCACGAGGAATAACGCCTCTTCCGAAATAGCTAGTTCGAAATAGCAGTCGTGTGGACGCGCCACTGTTGCTATTCGACATTGCTTTGACTAGCCCGAGGGAGAAGCTATGACTCCCCAGTGCTTCCTGGGGCTCTAAATTGAGGGAGCGTGTCCACGTTAGGAGAGCCGGCCTCAGACTCATTTCCAGGCTTCTCTGCGGTGTAGACGCTATTTCGGAGTATTTCTTCCAGACTAGTTTATTCTGGAACAGTCGTGGAGTGCAGACGTAGCCTAAGAGAACAAAGAAGTGCCACCGTGGCTTAACAGCCGACTAGAAGAAACAATGAGAGATGAAAAAAGCACGGACTAGAAGAAACAATGAGAGATGAAAAAGCACAGTTTAAAAACTGGAAATTAAATCCTAGTGAGGAAAATAGAAAGGAGCATAAACTGTCAAATTAAGTGTAAAAATATAGTAAGTCAAAAAGGCATTTGAAGAACAGCTAGTCAAAAACTCAAAGTAATAGCCAAAAAATGTTCAGTACATCAGCCACAGGAAGCCAGCTAAGCCACCAGTGGAGCCACCGGCCAATCGAGATGCGAAAGGAGCATTCAGAGCTGATGAGGAGAAACTAAATGAATGTTTTGCATTGTCTTCACGGCTGAGGATGTGAGGGAGATTCCCGAACCTGAGCCATTCTTCTAAAGTGACAAATCTGAGGAATTATCCCAGACTGAGGTGTCATTAGAGGAGGTTTTGGAACAAATTGATAAACTGAACAGTAACAAGTCCCCGGGACCGGATGGCAATCACCCAAGAGTTCTGAAAGGACTCAGCTGTGAAATTGCAGGGCTATTAACTGTGGTTTGTAACCTATCCTTTAAATCAGCTTCTGTACCTAATGACTGGAAGATAGCGAACATGATGCCAATATTTAAAAAGGGCTCTAGAGGTGATCCTGGCAATTAACCTCCTTACCGGGCAAATTGATTGAAACTATAGTAAAGAACAGAATTGTCAGAAACATCAATGAACATAATTTGTTGGGGAAAAGTCAGCATGGATTCTGTAAAGGGAAATCCTGCCTCACCAGTCTACTAGATTTTCTTGAGGGTGTCTACAAGTATGTGGACAAGGGGGATTCAGTGGACAGACTGTATTTAGATTTCCAGAAAGCCTTTGACAAGGTCCGTCCCCAAAGGCTCTGAAGCAAAGTGAGCTGCCATGAGAGGGAAGGGCCTCTCCTGGATCAGTAACTGGTTCAATTAAAAGATAGAAAACAAAGGGTCAGTTTTCAGAGTGGCGAGAGGTAACTAGTGGGGTCTCCTAAGGGGATCCATCGTAATCATCATAGTCACAAATGACCTGGAGAAAGGAGTAAACAGTGAGGTGGCAAAATTTGCAGATGATACTAAACTGCGCAAGAGAGTTAAGTCCAAAGCAGATGGCGAAGAGCTTCAAAAGGATCTCGCAAAACTAGGTGATTGGCAACAAAAAAGCAGATGCATTTTAATGTTGATAAATGCAAAGTGATGCACATTGGAAAATATAATCCCAGTTATATATCCAAAATGATGGGGACTAATTTCGCTATAACCACTCAAGAGAAATGAATAGGTAGCCGGTTTAACACAAAGAAAAGAAAGTATTTCTTCACACAGCACAGAGTTAATGGGTGGAACTCCTTGCCACAGGACCGGACCGTAACAGGGTTCAGAAAAGAACTAGACAAATTCATGGAGGTTAGGTCCATCAGTGGCTATTAGCAGGATGGGCAGGGAGGGTGGCCCGAGCCTCTGGCAGAAGCTGGGAATGGGCAACGGGCTGGAAGATTCCTGGGTCCACCCGGCATTGGCCACTGTCAAAAGCCAGGACACGAGGCTGGATGGACCTTTGGTCACACCCCATAGGGCCGTTCTTATGTTCCTACTGTGACAACAACACTCCCCTCCCGCCTTTGTCACACCCCCCTTGCCAGAATGTGCTGGTTGCGCTGGAGAAACAGATGAATGCGACTGGGCTGCAGAGCGAGAACGTGGAGCACGGCAGGCACAATTTTTCCACGGTGCTGTTGACCACGGTGGAGAAGCTGCTGCGAATGCTGGGTCAGACCCTGGCTGACCGCTCCGTCAACGTCACCTCCGCCAGAGGCACAGGTCAGCACCGGGCCAGTGGGGCTCATTATGCACAGCCAGCACGCCTGCAGGGAGACAGGAGCTCCCCGGGCCTGCTCCCCATAGCGCCCCCTGCAGGGAGACAGGAGCTCCCAGAGCTCCCCAGGCCTGCTCCCCATAGCACCCCTTGCAGGGAGACAGGAGCCCTCACCCACAGCCAGTTCTCCCTCCCTGCTCCCCACAGCGCCCCCTGCAGGGAGACAGGAGCTCCCAGAGCTCCCCAGGCCTGCTTCCCATAGCGCCCCCTGGGGGAGACAGGAGCCCTCACCCACAGCCAGTTCTCCCTCCCTGCTCCCCACAGCGCCTCCTGCAGGGAGATGGGAGCTCCTCTCGCAGCCAACGCTCTCTCCCCGCTCCCCACCCAGCACCCCCTGCATAGAGACTGGAGCCCCCCTGCAGCCAGGAAAGCAGCTGGCCCGGCTGCAGGTCCCTCGCCGCGTTCTCTGTTGTGAGCCCTGGCTGGCATTGTGGTTCCAGAACTGATGCTCAGGAAGGCTGGGAACCGGAGCCCGGAGGTCGTGCAGCTGCTGCAGAGCAAGACGCAGGTGAACTTAGAGTGGAACAAAGCCCCAGGGCAGCAGAAGGAAGGTAACTGACCATGCCCTGTGCTGGGATGGGCACAGCCAGGGCTCTGGGGGCAACACATTGCCCTCTGGTGCCAGGCTGGGGTGTGTCTGGGGAGGGGGCACGGCCAGGCTGCCCCGTTTCCTGTCTCTGTCACAGGCGACACGCTGGTCGGGCTGCTGGTGTACGTGGGGATGGGCTCCATGCTGGAAGGTGCCACAAAGATGGAGGCGCCCGAGTGGGACGAGATCCGGCTGAACGGGAGCAGGGAGCGGGAGCGGGGGAAGCCCAG